TCTTCACACCCAGTGTTATACACGCTAATATTAAAGTACCATAGGTTCTAAAAAACAGAGTAGGGTAGTTTCCTGGACCTTTATTTGCAGTCCTAATTTTCTCTAAAGGAGGCAATGAAGGATTCAGAAAAAAATGCGGGGAGATAATCGAATAGTAATTTATTTTTTAAAGTAGAAAAATGTCGATATTTAATTTATTTTTATTAATTGATACGGTAATTAAAAATTTTTTAAATTTTAGATAATTTATGGGGATGTACTTCGCTTAATTGTTCTTTAAATACATTACTAGATCCTTGTGATGATTTTTATGATTATGTTTGTTATGGATTTGTTAAAGATACTAGTAATCTACCCGAAGGGTATATAAGGAAAAGTCAATTTAGTATTTTATGGGATAAAAGTGAAAGAGAAGTTATAAGTTAGTTTATTTGCACTTGGACCTCGCTGTAGTGTATCCCCAATAATATGTACACCGTATGTTGGTTGGTCACTATGGTTCTGTTGAAAAATTCTGTTGAAAATTATTAAAAGATATTTAATTAAAAACAACTAATACGCTTTAACTTACACAATGGTTTCGGTTTATTTTTTAAATAAATAGATCTTTTTTTTAAATCCCACTACTATTGTATGAATAAAAATCCTATATAGAGTAGACCTTAATATAATGTACATACAATAATTCACCCTACACTAAAGCGAGGTTCTATTTTATTTTATTATCGGCACTTTTACGTAAAAAGAGCTAATTTAAAAAAAAGATGTACTAAATTACCCATATAATTTTTTCAGGTTTATTAAATAATAAAGAATTACGTAAAGAAAAAAATAAATTAGATAATTCATTATTTAAACAAATGTTTCAATTTTATGATTCTTGTTTAAATAAACAAAGTCGTGAAGGAATTAAAAGTAAACCTTTACTAGAATTTATTGAAAAAATAATTGGGGGTAGTGGAGCTGTTGGAAGATTAAGAAAATTTGAAACAGAATGGTTTATAAAAGTAAAAATTAAAATTAAAATATTGTTTTCTAAATAATAATTAAGGCTGGGAAAAATATGCACGAAAAATCGCCAAATATGCGCATATATTCACCGGAAAATCTACAAAGTATGCACCAAAATATTCAAAATTTCCCAAAATATCCAACGATATGCAAATATGCTCAATAGGGCGAAATATGCAAAAATAACATTAAAAATCGGGTCTTAAAGTGCTCGTCCCAATGTATAAGCACCATTTATGAGCTTCTATCATAAAGGATTATTCGCATACAAAACGTTCCTTTGCATGTTTTTCACAGCCTTACTAATAATACAGCCTAATAATAATTTTCCCAGTTCTAATATAACATTATTAAAGGCATTTCCATTTGTGCCATTCTTTGAGTTTGAAACTACTTGGGATGTTAGAAAAGAATCTTTTGAAAAAAGTTTTATTTTATTTACAAAAATATTTTTATTTATTAAAAAAAGATATGTTTATGTTACAACCAAAATCAACCTTTTCACTTTATTTATGGAAAGACAATGAAAAATTAAATTTTGAAAATAAATTAAAGAAAATTTTGCGTTATTTAATTGATGATTCTTTGGAAATATATAATAAACTTCCAGCATTTATGGAAAATGGACTAAATGAAGATGAAATTAATTGTATTTATCACCAGTTTAATAAAAAATTATATTCGGATACTGGGAATTTTCTCAGATTTCCTAGGATACGTAAATCCTATTAGGCTTTTGTAAATCCTATTAGATTTCTGGATATAGGAAGAATAGAAAATCAAAGTCAAATTTTTCCTTACATACCCTCTGTCGTCTCCCAAATTTCTGATACATTCCAAATTTTCTGATAACCTTTTAATCCTACAAAACTCCTGATAACCCTGATGATTTGAAAAATTGATCGAAGCTTTTAATGTACTTAATAAAAGGAGTTATAATATTTCTCACCATGGCGGACTAAAAAATTTCGCCCTCTGTTTTTCGTCTTTTACGAGATCTCGATTCTCGTATGACAATTTTTTTGGATTTTCGAAATTCTTCGAGAAGCGAAACTTTTTGTTATCTCAATTTCATACGACACTCTCATATATGGTTTACCTAAAATTGGAAATTTAACAAAAATTTTGAAGATGAGGCATGAAAACTAACTTAAAATGAATTCAAAAAATAAATCTAAACAAAATATTTATTTATTTTTAAAGTAAATATTGAAAGACGTGTCAAAAATTTAATTCTTGTGGAGCAAAAAATGTCAAAAGCATTAAGTAGTGGTACTTTTGAAAGATTTTCTAATTGGGATGAACCAGAAATGTATATAGAATTAGGAGAATTATCTTCTTTATATTTACCTTCAAGTATTTCTTTTGATTTTGTCAAAATTTTAAATGAAATTGCTAGGTAAAATTAAAAATTTTAAATTAATTTTTAATTCTCCTTTTAGTGAAGGAAATCCTTTAATTAATGAAAAAACAAAAATATTAATATTAGGAAATGATATATTAAAAGAATATCGTTTAATAATTGAATGGGCAGAAAATGAAGATGGCGGAAAAGTTTTATCTGATTATTTGGATTGGGCATTAATTTGGAGAAGTTTATATGAATTAGATTCCAGATTTGCTAATTTATTAAATTCTTATAAAAAAGATGAAATTGGATGTATGAGAAATTTTGTTAGAATTTATTTTAAACATTGGCTTGATAAATTATATGTCGAGAATTTTGTTGATAAAAAAATTATTGGACAAGTGGAAAATATTTTTAGGTATCTAGTAAATTTTTTTGGATTTAAATATGTAGTTGAATTTGGAAAAAATGACAAAAATTATAAATATTCCTTGCCATAAAAATAAGCAAAGAACCGAGCTTTCACAAATGCAGTTGTGAAATTTATAATCAAAGGAAAATATGCTATGTATTTAAAAATTTTAACCCCCAAATGGAGTTTTGTAACTTTTAGTTTAATATAGAGTACGTCCGAGTCGAGCGAGTTCGAGTTACTCGACTTGACCGCTTGGGTTTTTTGCGTTTACTCGACTCGAAACTCGGGATCCTAATACTCGGATTACTCGAGCTCGGAAACTTCCTACTCGACAGAATCGGTTTACATCGAGCATTTTTATGCCCCTATCTGCGGCGCAAATAGGAAGATAATTTTAATATTATCTTATGATTTTATAAAAATTCAGACAAATTTTTTGTCAAAAAAATTTAGATTTTGCTCAAAAATAAGAGAGAAATAGATTTTTATTTTCAGTTTTATTAAACAAGGTTTTGGTCAATTAATTAATGAAGCTAATTGGATTGGAGATGAATCTAAAAATAAAGCAAAAATTAAATTATCAAAAATGAAACAAAATATTGGATATTATAAATTAATTGAGGATAATATATTTTTAAATAAATTATATAAAAAATATAAAATTAATGAAAATATGCCTTGGATTGAGATGTTTGTACAATTAGAAAGAAATTATTATTTATGGCCAACAATTGATTATCAAGTAAAATTAAAAAAAATAAGTTAATTTTTTAATAAATATTCTTGAATAAATACATATATAAATACAGTTAATACAGGCGGTAAAATAAATTTTTTTTGTATTTTTGGTACCAGCCGACTTTGATCGGCTATAACTTTTTAATGTCTGATTCAATATATATGAATGTTATGTTCGATAATCTGCATCTTTTTTCAAAATCGAGAGATCATGTCTAATCACCCATTAAAAGTTATAATCCGACAAATGTGAAAACACCAAATAATTCGACATATCGTTTTATAACTTTTTAATTGAAGATCAGACTTGATCTATCTTTCTGAGAAAATATACAGATTATCGTGCGCTTTCGAATAATATGAAATTCATTTATATTGGATCAGGATTAAAAAGTTATAGCCGATCATATTCAGCTTTAACGGAAAAGTACCTTTTTTATAAAAATAATTCATAATTTATTTTTTCAAATAACGAAAGAGAGTTAAATAAAACACAAATATTTTTCTGATTAAAAGATTATTGTTTTATAGTTATAATTAAAAATTATTGAGGCATCTTTCTTTGTTGATGGTTATTATAAATGGGCATTTAATTCATTAGCTATTTATAATGGAATTATGCACTCGCCATGGTTTGATCCAACATTTCCAGAGCCTTTAAATTTTGGGGCTATTGGAACTTTGATAGGTCACGAAATTTCTCATGGATTTGATTCTTCTGGTTTTCATTTTGATGAAAATGGTGATAGAATTGATCAAAAAGATGTAGATCAAGAAACACACAAAAAGATGGAAGAAAGATTTGAATGTTTTATCGAACAATATAATAAATATGAGGTGTTAATTAAATGTTTTTTATTAAAAATACTAAACTTCCTTAATTTAAATTAAATTTAAAATATCGTTCGAACGGTAAACTAAAAATAAAATTCAAAAAATTTTCTACATAAAGTTAAGCATTTTAAAATTAAAAAGGTCTTTGGTTATCTCCTACCACTTTTCTTTTTACCATATTTGATCGGGTATAACTTTTTTATACTTGATCCAATCCGAATGAATCTGTTATCATTCAAAAGTCCTCGATAAGCGCTATCTTTTACCTGACTGAATGGATAAAGTCTGATCACTGATGAAAAAGTTACAAGTCGATAAGTGAAGGTAATCGTTGTTTTTACAATTATTAACTTGTAACTCTTTTATGAGTGATCAGATTGAGGGCTTGTGAATGATATGAGTTTTGATCAAACATAAAAAAGTTACAGACGATCAAATTCGGTAGAAAGCAAAATAATGGGAGATAACCAAAAAGTCAAATAAAAATTTATTTAGAACAACAAATTACGTCCAAATAGACGTTTTACATTATCAGAAAATATAGCAGACAATGCTGGTATTCGGGCATCATATAGAGCTTGGAAATTATTTACAACTACTCAAAGAAAATTTAAAAATTTAGAAAATTCTTTAAATAAATTTACTGATGAACAAATGTTTTTCATTGGAAATGCATTTGTAAGTAAAAAATGAAAATAAAAATTTTTTTTAAATTTAAAAGACTTATTGCTCCGTAATGACAGAAGAAGACGCAAATAATTATGCAAAAACAGATAATCATGCTTTTCCAAAAGCAAGAGTTAATTTGCCTCTTAGTAATTTCCAAGCATTTGCAAACGCATTTGAATGCCCTTCTGGAACAAAAATGAATAATAATGAACAAAAATGTCAACTTTGGTAAAAAATTAGTATCATTTGTTTTTATTTTTCTATTTTTTAATCATTAGTATCATTGTAATGTCCGTGTTTGGAAAAATAATATTTAAATTTGTTTCATATATTTATTTTATTAATTTTGCCTTTTCACTCATATTCAAATATTTCCTTTGTTTAACACTCATCAATTTATAATCTTTTCATATTAATTTACAATATTTCAAATTTACTTTTATATATTCAAATACCCGACACATCAACCTATTCCTTATCATCATTTTACTTTGTACTTTTCCACCCATTTTCTCTTGTATATAAACCCCAACTTATTTCCTCATTCGGGACCTCCTTACCGAGGGACCTCCTTAGTAGAGAACTTTTCCTAGCCCACATCCGATTGACCGTTATTGCTTGTATTTAATTAATAGATAAATTTATATATTTATCTTGGATTTGTCCTCAGTAAATCAAAGAGTCAAATTTAATACACTTAAGTATTTAGTTTTCTAAGGTAAAGCTCGGATATGACAATCATCTTTCATATTATTTTTAGATATTTATTTTCATAATTATTTACATTTTTTCACATCCATTATTATCCTGTTGATATGTATTTTCATTAATCATAAATCTATATTATGATTTTTGTCTAGATATTATTTCAGTTTTGAGATAAAAATTTTTGTTGTATAATTATTTTTTCTCTCTCACAGCAACATCTCCAACCTCTAAAATACACTCATAATATTTTTCAAACCGAATTTTCTTCTCTCTTTTTATATCTTTATATTTAAATTATTGCACTTTTTTTTAAATTGGTGAAATCGGATTTAATGATTTTGAAATAAGTTATGGATAAATAATTGGCATAAAAAATTTTGGCTCTTGTCCAGTTTATGCGTCCCATGAAAGCGTCCAAAAAATTATGCGTCCAAAAAATTGGATTTTTCTTGGTGTTGCAAAGTAGGGGTATGGTTTCAAAGCATTTCTTCATGTTCGGGTCTACGTCCTCTAGGTCTGGGACCGTTCCTTATCCTATCCCTCGAAATTTCTGAAAGTTAAAATCGTTTTTCTGAAATTTTTAAAAATTGGCTATAACTTTCAGAAATTTCGAGGATAGGATAAGGAACGGTCCCAGACCCAGTGGACGTAGATCCCGAACATGAAGAAATGCTTTGGAACCATACCCCTACTTTGCAACACCAAGAAAACTCCTATTTTTTGCTGATGGGACGCATATACTTTCATGGGACGCATAAACTTGACAAGAGCAAAAATGTTTTTAAATTTCGAATTTCGGATTTGTATTTCTTTGATAATATTGAACCGAATCTTCTGCATTTGGTAGCAACAATTTCACAAAGTGTCATGAATCCAGCAAAAAAATTATCAATTTTCGTTAAAAATGATAAAAGTTATACATAGATAAAACACAAACGGCCGCTAATTTGCCGCACTCTGTATATTATAATATCACTTTGGCACTCCATCCGCCCAAATGTTTATAAAATTTTAAAATAATATAGTTTATTTAATTTTTAATTGCAAAGTTTATTTGAAGACGAGTAAGATTGTACAAATGTCTCAAATAGTTCCTCGACTTTATTTCCTCAAATTTAGTTTTATAAAAATCTTTCCAGAATTTATAACACCTTGGCCAGTCAAATTTGGTTTTATCTAAAATAATTTTTAGTTATATTTTTATTTATCATTTTCTCACTAATGTCTCAGAACATCTCTCCAATTCAAATGAACGTAGTAAATGAACTAAAACCATCTTAACTTCCATCATTGCTAAACGCATTCCAATACAAATTCTAGGTCCTCCCCCAAATGGGTAATAATATTCTGTTTGTGTATTTAAATTCTCATTTAATAACCATCTTTCCGGTTTAAATTCTTCGGAATCTTCTCCCCAAACTTTTTTATCTCTATGTAAAGTGAATAAATCGGCAGAAACGTATGTTCCTTTCTCTATTGCTATATCTCCAAGGGTTGTAGTCTCTTCACATCTTCTGTTGACAACACTTAAAATTTTTGATTTTTATTAGAATTTTACAAACAATTTTTTTCACAATTATCCAAGACCCGAACCCCGCCCCCAATAAATTGAAAACACACGCGCCCTTCGGAATATTAAAAAGTTATTTTTGGCACCATTGCATTATATCGCCACATTTGCGCAAATCCATGACCATTATTAATCATTTATCGTTTCCTTTAATCTTTATGAGAAGCTAGAGGAAAAAAACTAGCCATTAAACTTTTGCGGACATATGGCGGAATAATGCGATAGTACCTTATTTTCAATTGTGAGATGGAACCCCGAACTGTGAAGCCCGCTTGAGGAACAAGAAGAACATTGTATGTATTCTCGCTTTCTTACTATTTAGTAGTTTTATTTTATTTCCTGAATCTTATTAAAAATAATTAACCAACTCATTCGCGATTGGACATAATCTTAAAGTCTCTTTTAATACAGCATCCATATATTTTAATTTAGACAGTTGTTCATAATTAATTATTTCCCCCTCTTCTAATCCACAAATTTCTTCAATTTCTTCAAATAAACGTTTTTGAACTTGCGGGTTAAAAACTAAATTGTGTGCTATTAAACTTAGTGTATTTGCTGATGTATCAAATCCAGCCTGAAGGAAGAGAACACAATTAAGTACCATTTCTTCTAATGTATTACATCGTTCAAACTGAAGACAAAAAAATTTTTAAATTATTAATTAAAATAAAAATTTTAAATTCTTCTAGACAATTTTTCTCTATATAAAAGATTTTTCTAATTTATAAATTTTATCGTAAAAATGCTAATTATCCGCTTTAAAAAAATATGTCTATAACCATTTATTTCGTGTAGATTGAAGATGATCCCGACAATTTCGCTCAGTTGTGGCATTTAGGTATATGTATAGAGAAGGATAGAGATCGGATATATAAAAGATTTTTCTAATTTATAAATTTTATCGTAAAAATGCTAATTATCCGCTTTAAAAAAATATGTCTATAACCATTTATTTCGTGTAGATTGAAGATGATCCCGACAATTTCGCTCAGTTGTGGCATTTAGGTATATGTATAGAGAAGGATAGAGATCGGACCAAACAAATATTTGACGTCATAAAATCAAATATTTGATCAACTTTTATTTGATCAAATATTTGTTTGATGAGTTTTGAAAAAAATAAAAATTTTTTTCATATACTTTCAAATATCAAATAGTTTGATTTGATATTTGATTTTGCCGTTTTCCGATCTCTAGATAGGGAAAGAGAGAGAGGAAAAAACCTTGCTATATGTATCCCTATGTAAAGTATAGAGTAGGGTTGTCGGTTCCTGGAAATTTTTCGGATATACGAAACCGAACCGAAAAAATTTTAGGTTCTTCGGTTCGGGTCGGTTCGATCCATAACTGACAACCCTACTTGAGCGGAATATTTTGCGAAAAAAATATTCATGTTAGTATTGTTAATATTTTTAATAACGAATTACCTTTTCTTTTTTGTTATAAGTCCCATTACTTATTTTAAATTCAATTTCATTATTTTCAGCTTCTGATTCCAAAAAGAGGTCAATAAAATCAACCCATTTTTTATTATTTAAATTTTCTTCATTTACTTCTTCTTCCCTTTCATTTTTCTTCATTCGCTCTTCTTTTCTTTGTTTAACAGCTTTAGTAAGTTTATCTATCAAAATTATAAATGGATCTCCTCTGTATTTTCCTGTAACTCTAACGAAAGGTTCAAGTATATTTTCTCCTATCCAAGGGAATATAAAAGAAATATAATCAAAAATATTATTGTTAACACGGATAAAAGTATCTTGAGCTATTTGACAATATTCTGATTTAAATTGTTTAGAGTCTCTTTGTCCCATTGCGATACGAGCGATTATATCGAAAGCAAGTTCTACGAAGTATCTGAAAAATAAATTTAATTTAACTTAGACTTTTAATTTTTAGCATATCCAAAAATCCTCCCCCTCCCACATTTTCCTTTTTCTGCTTCCTTCAGCTTTTCATTTAAAAAAAAGAATGAAGGCAAATAATGGCCATGATTTTGTATCGACATTTCGATACAATATTGATACCGTGATGAACTCTAGTATTTAAATTAATCAGTTGGAAAGAAAAAACCCAAGGAACCTAAATAAAAGTAAGACGTTAACTCACTCATGTAGATCAACACATTTTCCAGATGATTCTGCTTCTTTTAATAAATTAATATTTATTTTAATAGAATCCTCGATTATTGGCATTATCTTAAAAATAATTATTTTTTATTAGAAAATAGTCTTTTTTACTTTTTTCAAATTAGAAATTGAAAATGCTGGATTAGCAATTGAACGAAGTCGTTTCCAGCGCTTTCCTTTTGCGAAAAATAGATGAATAAATTTATTTGTATCTACATCACCAACAATAGGGCAAAGCTTAAAAAATTATTATATTTAAAACTACCTATTTTTTATTTTCAATAAATTTCTTGTTTATAATTCCTAGAAGGCGTCCTAGGACGAGCTACATCTTATTATAATGGACGCCCTGTACTCGAAAATTTCATATCATGTTAAACTCACAGACTGAATGGGTTAACATATGTTTGTCTTAAGGCCAGACTTGGTAATGACATGGATTTTGCGGACCGTTCGGATATTAATGTGGATATATCCGCAGGCATATTCTCTGTATCCATATCCTTATCCATTACCAAGTTTGATTAAGGCAATAGTTTTACTTCATAAATTCTGCTGAGTATGAGAAAGTGAAAAATGAGAAAGTCATTAATGCTTAAATCATTCTGTTCAGTTAGTGCTTTATTGACACCCAAAAATCCGGTCCCTAATAATAATTATTAACCCAATTTAATTAGAGAGAATAAACCCAAATTTATATGATTTCATAAGTTAAAATTTTTAATATTTACAAATCTTCCATGAAAATATTCAAATTTTTCAACAAGTAATTCTTTAACCATTTTTGGTTCACTAACAACTAAAACATTGTTCCATCCATGTTTAATTCCATAAATTCTTCCATATTTTTTACTCCAATTAAATAATTGTAATGAAAAAGGATTTTTATTTCCAAAAATTAAATCTATATTCCCTTTTATTGGAAGAGGTTCTGGTCCTGGAATCCCTCTATTCTTCCAATAATTACTTTTTCTTTTTGCAGTCCAAAATAAGAATATAGAAGATATTGTTATTAATAATAATATTATTAAAATCATTTTTCCTTATTAAAAATAAAATATATTTAGGCGAAAATAGGAGAGAAAAATATAAATTTATCCTGAGTAGAGTTGGCCGGAATCGGGAATCCGATCCGCAGTCAGGACCGTGATCATTATTCCAAAATCGCGATCCTGATTTTTTGCCATAATCCCGATAACCGGCTAACTCTAATCCTAGATAATATTAATATTTATCTTAAATTCTTATTAATATTCAGAAGCATTTAAGAATTATTAATAAAAATATTAAAATAAGAAATAAATAAATATAACAATCATTTTGTTTATTATATAACAAATTTGCTAGTTTATTGTTTGATTTATTGTTTGAATTTATCTTAAATTATTAAAATTGTATTTTGTAGTTTGTTTAATTAAAATTTAATATTTACCATTAATATGAAAACTATACGTCTTGTTCTTGCGACTTGCACCAATGATATTTTATAATATTAATTTCAGATATTTATTTTAAAAACAATCATAAACTACAATTATTTTTTGATAATTATTTATCATTATAAAAAATAATCCTATATTAAATTTTAGAATTGTTGTCTGTTTGTCTGTCCGCAGCTTTGAATTTTGCTGTGTTTGGCGTTGTGTTTTATTTTTAATTAAAAATGACAAAATATCCCAAACAGAAAATAGTGTGTGTTTAGAGAAGTAAAGAAAGAATGTGAATTTCTTAGAAGTTGTTTTGTTTTTTTTGCTGTAATTTTTTTATTTTTTTTTATTTTTTTGGCAAATTTTTTGTTTTTTTTTGTTGTTAATTATATTTAAGATGTGTTTTGATTGTTTTGTTTTTTTATTTGTTAAAATTTGTTTTATTTAAAAATTGTTTTTAGATTCAAAATCAAAACAATTTATTATTTAAACACCTTGAGTGTCAAACTGTTGGTTTTCAGTGCTGATATTTTATTTAATCAAAGAGAGTGTCCAACCGGTGGTTAGTTTTTGTGAGGTTTTTTTAACATATTAAAGTTAGGTTTTTGTGTTTGACAATGTGATACGAAATAGTTGATGGTCCTAGATAGTTTGACACAGAGATACTAAGTTGATTGTCCCTGATAGTTTGACAGTGAGATACTGTTGATAGTCTGATACAGTGAGATACTAAGTAGTTGATAGTCCTAGATTGTTTGATATTATGTGATACTGAATAGCTGAAAGTACTAGAGTTTGACATTGTGTGATACTAGATAGTTGACTAACAGTTGTAGTATAACAGTTGTAGTATATATAGTAAAAAAGTTCTTTTACTATTAACTAACAGTTGTAGTATATATAGTAAAAAAGTTCTTTTACTATTAACTAACAGTTGTAGTATATATAGTAAAAAGTTCTTTTACTATTAACTATTAACTATTAAAGTAGAGTAGTACTAAAGTAGAGTACTGAAGTAGAGTACTATAGTTTGACATTGTGTGATGCTAAATAGTTGATAGTCCTAGAGTTTGACATTGTGTGACACTAAATAGTTACTAGAGTGACTAACATTTGTAGTATAACAGTTGTAATATATATAGTAAAAAGTTCTTTTACTATTAACTATTAACTAACAGTTGTAGTATATATAGTAAAAAAGTTCTTTTACTATTAACTGGGTGAAAAGGTCTGGAAATGGTTGGAATAATGGTGAGCGAAAAGGGTCCCGTAACTGGGTGAGGGTCCCTGACTTGGTGAAAAGGGACTGGAAATGGTTGGGATAATTGTGAGCTAAAAAGGTCCCGTAACTGGTTGAAAAGGGTCTGGAAATGGTTGGAATACTCAAAAGCGAGAATGGTCCCGTAAATGGGTGAAAAGGGTCTGGAAATGGTTGGAATAATGGTGAGCAAAAAGGGTCCCGTAACTGGGTGAAAAGGGTCTGGAAATGGTTGGAATAATGGTGAGCGAAAAGGATCCCGTGACTTGGTGAAAAGGGACTGGAAATGGTTGGAATAATGGTGAGCAAAAAAAGGTCCCGTAACTCGGTGAAAAGGGTCTGACAATAGTGGGAAGTAGAGATTTCGAGCAACATGCAAGAGACAAGTGTCTGTCAAATGGCTTGAGCAAGGATTCGTCAATAAACAAGATAAAAGACCCGTCAATAGAAAAAAGAATATAGTGTTCATTGTTAATAGTTGATAGTTGAAGATTGATAGTTAATAGTTGAAATAGATATTAATAGTTAATAGTGAAAGTTGAAAATTTTAGTTAATAGTTGAATCACTGTTAATAGTTAATAGTTGAAATAGATATTAATAGTTAATAGTGAAAGTTGAAAATCTTAGCTAATAGTTAATAGTTGACATAGATATTAATAGTTAATGGTTGAAAATCTTAGTTGATAGTTGATAAAGGTTTAGAATTGTAATGTTTAGAATTTGGCTAGCGGAAGGGGCTCGCCCGAAGGGCGACCCCCTCCGCTAGTATCGATAAAATTAAAAGGAAAAATAAAATAAAAAATATGACAAATAATTACATATGCGGTTAATTTAAGAGTTGCGTCTTAATAAAAAATTTTTTCGTAACTCGTAAATCGTAGTTTAAAAATTAATTCGGAATCGTAATTCGTAATTACGACACAACTCTGTTCGAGATGACAATTATTTTAAATAAAGTTCATTTTTGCTAGAGATGGGAAGATTATTAAACTACCGTACTTTAAAATAAATTTACTCATTAGTTGATTTTAATTTGAACTAAATATGGTCTTTATAAAGCAAATAGTATTTGGCTCAAGTTTACACTTTTATTTTCCATTATTCGAATTAACCATGTGAAATAATTGTTTACACAATACAAGCATTAAAAGTCTAATTTGTATTCTTTATTTTGTATATAATGGGATAAAAATGAAAAAAATAATTAAAAAGACAGTAAACTTAAAAAATAAAAAAAAAATAAAAATATTTTTTAGATATTTGTCAAGGTGAGTTTATTCACTTTCAAAAAAATTTTTTAATCATAAAATTATGCTTAGAATAAATTTTTTATCTAATTTTTTTATAAAATCTCATTTAACAAAGTTAAATTTAAGATAATAGGTAATGGTTGGCAAATATCCAGTTGATGTCTTACCTTTTCCGCAAATGGGATGCGTACTTTTCTTCCCTTTTCTTGCATTTTTCCCTCTATGAGGGGCACTTAAGAGAAAAGGAGGAAATAAATATATTTTATAAATAACTAAGGATGAAAGATTTGTCATAATATTCTCAAATAGATTTCTAGAATATCATGGATATGCTCTCCATTACCGCAATTAACATTTCGGATTTTGGAAAAATTCCGTCATATCTCCCAGAAACTAATTTGGACAAACGATATGTCATTCGAAAGAGCTCGCCGAGCTGAGTCGAACGACACCAAAATTAGCTTCGGGACTCACATATGGACCAAGTTATAGGTCCCTGAAAATCGAAAAACCATAGGGGGGAGTAAGCTGATTTTTGGGGTGAAAAATTCGATTTTTCGAATGATAGCTCATTCGAAAGAACTCATCGAGCTGAGTCGAATGACACCAAAATCAGTTCGAAATCTTGATTCTGAGACGAGATAAAGAGGTCAAAATGGTCAACATAAACCTATGGGGCGTCGGCGAGGCGCTTGTGCAAAACTCCGCGCTTCGCGCGGAGTTTTGCGGCACGCGCCTCGCGGGGAGTCTACGGGCGCTGGGTCTGGGCTCGTAACATAAACGTATGCCTATTTTAGCTGCGGTCGGCATGTCTGGCTTCCTTCCCAGCAACAAAAACCTGCACGTAGACCAAAGGTAAGGAGCTAAAACTAATACTCATAACTTTGTCAAATCAAGTCGGATTTCGCTGATTTTGGTGTCATTCGACTCAGCTCGACGAGCTCTTTCGAATGAGGTATAATTTGTATATTCGAATTTTTTAAGCCAAAAAGTGCTTGGTCCCCCCTTTGGTTTTTCGATTTCCGAGGATCTATATCTCAGCCCACAGGTGAGTCCCGAAGCTAATTTTGGTGTCGTTCGACTCAGCTCGGCGAGCTCTTTCGAATGACATATCGTTTGTCCGGATCGGTTTCTGGGAGATATGACGGAATTTTACCCGGATTTTTTCTTTGATTCGATCTCAAGGTCTTTATCGTCAAAAAACGTAATCCAGAATTTTTCTCGTAAAGTATTATTAGTAGGACAAGGAAGGGACATACATATTCGAATTTTGTAAAAAAGGAAGAAAAGTGCGCATCCCATTTGCGGACAGGTAGGACATCAACTGGACATTTGCCGTAATGGTTTGTTTATGTTAGTGGCAGGGTGGCCCTTTTACCCTATTTATAGAGGATTTTCCCTATTTTTGACCTTTTCGCCCTATTTTCTCATTTGCCATATTTTTGCCCTATTTTTACAATCTTGTGAAGTTTTTCGGGCTTGGTCTCAAGGTGAAGTCTTTGTATTGACTTGGCCTTGCAAAATTCTCAAAATTTTCGCCTTATTTGAAATTAATTATGTTTAAGCTATGCCCTAATTTTTGCCCTATCTTTGCCCGATTTCGCCCTATTTTTGCCCCATTTTTGAGTGGCTGCGCCCTATTTTACTGTTTTGGAAGGGACCACCCTGGTTAGTGGCATTGTGTAATTCTAAATTACAAATGCCGGCCCGGTTCGGTTAGTTTTGAAAATCGTTCGGGCTTTGAATTTTGTCCTGAAAAAGCGTTGCCTTTATCCTTCCATATCATTAATTACTCAATAACTCCCCCAGCCTTAAAAATTGGAATCTGGCTTCCAATTTCCAAAATCCTTAAAATTTAAAAATAATTGGCCGATTGACCTAAGGGATATGGATGAATAGGGGAATATCATGAGAATTGAACGGATATAAGTGGATTAATATTGCCTTCGTACGTGAAGAGGGGGAATTAACGATTTTGAAGATTTTTTTGTTTGAAACAGCTCTGGTGCATCACAATATTAACTTTATAATTTCGATTAAATATTTGAACTTTTAAATTATTACAATATCTCTTTTAATCCATTCAAATTTGTCACTCTCA